CTACAAGTTCATGGTATACAAACAAAGGAGGTCACAGCGGGTAAGGGAAAGGGTGAAGCAGTACTTCACCCACCACTAAGTGCTGCCTCATGTGGTATAGTCTTATGAAAAACCAGTTACAAAGCACCCTGGAAACATCACTGTCATGTCTGGCATTGGCTATGACCTGCTTACAAATAACATAAGGATACTGCTTAATCACATGGTTTCATAATCTAAAACACTAGAGAAAAATAGTGCAAGAAAAATAGTGCCTAAAATGACAGTGCTATGCATGAAGCTAAAACTCATTACTGAGCCTCAAAAGAATTATAAATTTGACCAAAAGACAGTTACAGGTGACACTGATTGTCTACTAGGAAATCTTTTACTGAGCATAAATATGTTCTTATATGCCTTAATTTTAGCCACATATTTTCCCAAATGAAGGATTTGAAAACATAGCTACAATTTTTATATCTTGGGGAAAAAAATCTTGAATCAGTTCAGAATTGATCTTTTCACCACTAGCTCTTTTATTGTTTCTTTTATCCCCTAAAAAGCAAACCCTAAGAATAATATCCACATTTCATTGTCATATAAAAAAGAACAGTCATTTACATACATATGTACAAACTCAACACAAGCTACAAAACTGGGACCTAAGTGCGGAAAAGATTGGATCTAACCTAGGTTTTTCTCTTAATATGAATCAGCTCCTGCCATCAAATCTTAACAACAAAATCCTAATTTCATTGCCATATGAAATAGAACAGTCCAGTTCTTAACACCATTTTATTTACACTCATATATGTTCTGCAAACTAAGTAAGGCAGAATCTAATACCTAGGCAGAAAAAAATGCAGTTGAATGACTGCAATTGTGTATAAATCTGTGCTGAGGTTGGACAAATTGAAGAGTAAATATAAATAAAACGGTTTTAGTTAAATTTTCTTAATGGGAATGAATGACTGACTTTTCATTGTTGTGGTTGGATTTTTTTTAAGCTTATAAGTGTTTGAATATAAATGTGATGCATTGACATTTGTGCACTTAACTGGCTGAACATTTGAACAAAAGCATCTGAGGAATGCAAGTTCTACTGATTCCTATAAGACTGATACCACCATTGTTTGACGGCAGCATTATCAAGGAAGTACAAAAAGGGCTCCAGAAAGGTAGATTTTGTGCTCTGCAGAAACATCAGAGTAGCTTTACAGAACAGAAATACACAAGATCAAATAAAAGGTTGTGATACAAGTATCTGCAGAAGGTAAGGGTGCTCATCCTAAGCTGTTAGATATGCTGATGGTTATTGTCAATTCATTTTACCAATGTATCCAATTCCAAGCTGAGAACATTCTGTTTTGAGCCTGGTCTGATGGAAAACAAAATCCAAACTGTTTCTCAAATTAATCTTTTTCTCCAAAAAAGTAGATATGGGGAAGAAAGCTGAGGGCTGAAAGCAATGCATGAGACTTTTGCTGACTTCTAAGGTCCTTTGCATGCAGCTCTAGGGAAGACATGGATGTTTTAAGGAGTGGAAGAAAGCAAATAGCACTCCTATCTTCAGTAAAGACTAGAATAAAAGAATAAAGAATAAAAGAACTACAAACTAGTCAGCTTCACTTTAATTCCTGGGAAAATGATGGAGAAAATAACTCTGGAAACTGTTTCCAAACATATTCAAAGGAGAAAATTGATGGGATAGCCAGCACGGGTCTGTGGAGCAGAAATTATGCTTGAGTAACCTGATGGGCTTCCATGATTGAGCAACTCGTTTGGTGGATGAGCAGAGAGCAATGGATGTTGTTTATCTTGACTTCAACCAGGCTTTCAACACTGCCTCTCTCCCACAGCAGTCTCATAGACCAACTGGTGAAGGGCAGGCTGGCGAGGTGGGAGCACTAAGCTGCCTGGCCTAAAGGTTTGTGATCACTAATACAAAGATCACCTGATAGCCCAGCAGTAGTTCTGTACCCAGGGATTGATAGTGTGACCAATGCCATTTAACATCTCCATTAATGACCCGGACAATGGGACAGAGCACACCCTCTGACAGTTAGCAGACACCATGAACTCGGGAGGAGTAGTTGATACACCACATGATTGTGTGACTGTTCAGGCTGTGTGACTCAACATGCTAGAGAAAAGAGCAAACAGGAATCTCAAGAAGCTCAACAAAAGGAATTGTGAAGTCCTGCACCTAAATGATGAAAACATCCATGCACCAGTACAGGCTAGGAGCTGGCTTCTGAAAGCAGCTTTTCAAAAATATTTAAGTTTTGCTGGACACCATGCTGAACATAAGCCAGCAATGCACCTTTGCAGCAAGCCAACAGCATCCTGGGCTGCCTTAGAATGAGTGCCACCAGCAGGTCAAGGGTATGATCTTTCTCCTCTCCTCAGCACTGGAGAAGCCATATGTGGAGTGCTGGTCTCCATGATACAAGAGGAACATGGCCATGCTGAAGCAAGAAGAATGTCAGGAAGGTGATTAACGATTTGGAGCATGAGAGCTATGTGGAGAGGCTGAGAAACATGGGATAGTTCAAACTGGAAAAGAGGAGGCTCATGGGATTCTTAAAAATTTATAAATACCTGATGGAGGAGAATAAAGAACACAGAGCCAGACACTTCTCAGTGATACCCTAGGAAGCATAAGAAGTAATGGGCACAAAATGAAATACAGGAAATTAATTCTGTTTAGACAAATGACAAAGCTTTTTTTTTTTACTGTGAGAGTGGTCAAACATGGGCATGAATTGCCCAGGGAGATTGTGAAGTCTCCATCCTTGCAGACATTCAAAACCTGACTGGACTTAGTCCTGGGAAATCTGCTTGAGGTGACCCTACTCCACCAGCTGGACTAGTTGAGCTAAGAAAGTTCTTGTCCATGTTAACAATTCTGATTCTGATATAAAGTATGAGAGAAAGTAAGAGAGACATCTCCCCTCCATAAAGGTTCAGGCAGCCAGAGGAGCAACCATAATCTTTTCTAAAAAGAAGAGTCATGTAATCTTATGTATGATAACACGATTATGCTGCCCTTAATGCAGCAGTAGTTCAGAGATGACACTGCTGGACTGAGCCATTACATTTAAAATTGTATGGATGGGATCTGACTGCTTTAAAGGTTCATAGAATTCACATCCCAATTAGTGCTTTGCATATGTTTAGTGGCAAGGTTTTTGTAGTGCTACTTTATTTTTATTGCTATTAGAATGAGAACAAGTTTTTGCAAAAGGCATCCACAAATCTGAGTGGAAATTGTATTCCTCTTACTGAAAAAGTAATTTACAATAACCATATCTTTTATGGAACTATCCCTTATCTACTATATGACTAGCACTACTTGCCGTGGAGACACTGGCATGTGATTGACGATGGTGGTCCCACAAAAACTGGTTTTAGCCATTACTGTGCTGAGGAAATGTGACCAGAGATGTTCAGTAGGTTGACATTTATGTTTTTCCCCGACTACCTTTCTGCATTGCACAGATTTTGCTTACTGTTGTTAGTTAATGTTAAGGACAGAAACCACCCATAAAAATAGCCCACCTATTTCTGTTCAACTGCTACACTTTGCATCCAAAGTGTGAAGAAAGCCAGAGAGTTTGTCAGCACGTCTCTCCCTCAGTGTTCCCCTCATTCCCCTGGTACAAATCCAGAGGCAGAAGAACTCAGACTCTTAATGCTTAATGCTGCCATCTAGCTAATAGTTGCTGCCCACAGCAGGAGGAATTCCACCTTCTGAGAGCTGGTTCACTAGGGAGGTAACTGACAGCTGTAAAGATCCTTTCCTAAATTTGCAGTACCATGCACTTCAAAACATTGATAATGGACTAGAGTCCTTCACCACTCCAAACCCAGTACAGTTCATACAGTGATATTTGAGTTGGCTGCCTGCGTTTGTTGAGTTTTCATACAGGGCTTTGAAAACTTGCCCTGCTAATGAGCAGGGCCTGGAGCACTGTGGACACGGCCTCAGCTGCCATCGTTTTAGAGCTGCATGGCATTTCTGTGCGCCAGTCCATCCCTCCAGTCTGTGTCCTCCCAGCCCCTAACACTTCCTTGCTCAGTAGTTCTCTTGTTTTCCCTGGTACCAGCACCACCACCTGTGGGCAAGTAGGGGGTGAGAGAAGGACTTGATCTACACAAAATTCCATGCCCGTTCCCTCCCCCACCCTGCCTTCACGGGAGACCCTGATCAGACTCCAGAAGTTTGGCTCTCACATGGTGAAGCCTTTTTTGTTTAATTTTAGCGAGTGCTAGTGGTAGGTACGTTTTTCACAGCCTTAACTGTGCTACAACCACTGAGACTATGCACCTATCTGGATCCTGAGACAGTCTAGAAAAACGATTTCAGACAGATGTGAACCACCTATTTGTGGCTGCAAGCTGTCAACAGAAGTAACCTGCGAGAGCAATGCACACTTCGGCATCAGCCCACCCGCCACCTCAGAAATGCACGGCTTCGGTGGCTTCCTTTTCTGGGGCCACTTGAGATGCTGCTCATTCCCGCACCAACGCTTGGCAGAAGATGCCAGCGAGGCTCGGCGTCGACGGCGAGCACAGCATCCGCTCTGCCGGTCCAGCGGGCAGTCCCGCCGTGTGTCCCAGCCGGCTGCGAGCGGCGAGCGCTCCCCACGCGGGCCGGGACGCGGGGCAAGGAGCACCGGCCGCTGCCAGGGCCGGCAGGGCCGAGCGGAGCCGCGCTGCTGAGGGCTCCCTGCCCAGCGGCTGCCCCTTCTCCTTGGGAGCAGGGCAGCCGAACCGAGCCGTGCCGAGCCGTGCGCTGCGCTGCGTTGCCAGCTGCGGTGTCGCGGCAGTCCCAGCCCAGCCCGCCCGACCCCGTCCCGGACACTCGCGGGCCGCTGCGCTCGCCGGGGCGGGCACACATGTTAGCCCGGCCCCAGTCCCGCCTCTGCCTCCGCCGGGAGCCGCTCGGAGCAATTCCCACGGCAACCCAGGCTCGACCCCCTTCCCAAACCCCGCCTCTGCTCCCCGCCCCGCCGCTCCCGCCCGGCTGCCGCCGCGGGTCGGAAACAGTCCGTGTGTAAACTCGACGTGTCCGGAAAGGTGCGCGCCGCTCCCCGCCTCGCTCCGTGCCCGGCCGCGGGGCGCGCCCGCCGAGAGCGATGCTGGACCCTTCCTCCAGCGAGGAGGAGTCCGATGAGCTGCTGGAAGAGGAGCGGCGGGACGTGCTGGTGGCGGCGGGCGGCGGCTCGCCGCGCTCGCTGCCGCAGCCGCCCCGGGACTCGCGGGGCAGGGAGGCCGGGGCGGCACGGGCAGCCAGCCCCAGCCCTTCGGTGCTGAGCGAGGGCCGGGAGGAGCAGGAGCGCCTGCAGCGAGAGGAGCGGGAGAAGCGGCTCCGGCTGCAGCTCTACGTGTTCATCGCGAGGTGCATCGCGCACCCCTTCAACGCCAAGCAGCCCACGGACATGGCCCGCCGGCAGCAGAAGGTGAGCCCCCGCCTCCCCGCTCCCCTGCCCCCGCGGGCCGTCCCGCGCCGTCCGTCCCGCCCGCCGGGGCCGCGCCGCCGCCGTGGCGCTCCGGCCCGCAACAGGTTGAGCGGGGCCGCGGCTCCGGCCGGCACGGCGCTGCCGGAGCGGCTGCTGCAGGGCTGGGTGTCGGCGCGCCCTGCCCGAAACACACCCTTTATCTAGAAATCCATCAGTCACCGGCGGTGAAGTCGTTTAAGTTTTTAGAGTTGCGCTCGAAGTCGCCGTGCGGAGGGCACAGGAGCGCAGGGAGCGGGCGCGCTGGGGCCGTTCTGCGCTGGAGGATTGTATTGCTGCTTCTCGGCGGTGCCTGATGGGTGGAATTAAACCTTCAGAGGTGCCTCCTGCCAGTCGCGTTCTGACCGTCTGTACCCAACCCGAGCAAATTAAGGCATAAAACACAGGTGAACGAGAAAACTATTTTGTTTAATGAATTACTGAGTGTGCTCTCTGTGCATAGGAACAATCAACATGCGTGTTTGTGGTGAGAATGGCCTTCTAATGAAGGTTGACCTAAGTTGTTCTCTCTGTCTTGTACGTGAAAGACAAGCTTTTGAGAACTGGCAGGCACGTGTAGGTATTTATACTTATTCTGTCTTAATTTTGGGCTGTTGAATAAATAGCATACTTAAAGTTTTGGATTAAGGCATTACATTTCCAGATAACTGCTTAAAAGCTCAGTTCTTGAAATGTTTGGTCTAAAAAATTGGGTATTTATTTTCAGTTCTGTAAATAAACAAACTAATCCAAAACAAAAGAAACAAACAAAAACCCCATTCTATGTCACTTTCCAGAAGGATAGTGATAGGGCACAAAAATTATGTAATTTTACTTGGCTTTTATGATTTTGATACTTCCATATGTCTAAGAGTTTGTAAAAATCAAGTGCTAAATGTTTTGGGGTATCTGAAGTATGCCTTCTGTAGGTAAATGTGTTTAGTGAATTCTCAGACAAGTTAATGTGGCAACATGGTAGTAATAAGATTGTTTCTGGAAGATTATTTTGTTTTTATTAAGTGTTAGGTACTTAAACTCTAGAGCCTGAAGAGAAACATCTTGTAAACAGAAAGCCAAAGAAAATCTGAAATAAGAATTTTCAGTGCACTGGAAATTACCTACCCAAACACAGAATCATCATAGAAATTATATTTTGAAGAGATACCTGGATCCCTCTAAGTGTGACTTCCCACTGGACAAAGCCAAAGCAGACTTGATGTAGTGTTCATATCAATCTAGGTTTAAGCAGGAGGCTCAGAAGCCTCCTGAGATGAGGTCTCACAACCTGTGTGACCTGCTCTACTGCTCCATTGCCCTTCTCCTGATTAAATTTTCCTAATCAGTTTCCAAGTTGCAGCTTGTGGCCATCAATTGCAGAAGATACTGAGCATTTAGAAGTTCTCACTGATCTAAGTCACTAAGTATAGGAGCTGTTTTAAAAATAGCTACTGTATTAATTACTTTTATTAATAAAATGTATGAAAAGAGATTACTGATGTGCAGCAAATGCAGAAATAAAACTGTTGTGGACTTAACTATAGGCAGTGAACAGACTGATTGACAAAACTGACTTGATACCTACAATTAAATATTGCTCTTGCTAATTACTATTTTTAAGTGAACTCTGGATTTTGCTTTAATTGCTGTATGTAAAAAGCTACTTTTGTCATATTTAGAAATATAGCTGCAGAACAAGGATGACATGTCTTTTCCTGGTCAGGAAATAGTGTTTTTAAATAAGACATAACACAAAAAATAAGTCTTCTCACTGAGGAGTTGTGCTTCTCTCTAGACCTAATGTAATGCACATAACCATCCTTCCTCTTACTTGACAATTTTGTATATATTGCCCAGTAAATTATTGCATGTAGGGTAATAGAACTGGTTATGAGTTTTGAGAGTTCAGAGAACCTGCTTTGATAGTTTGGGGTTGCCGAGAGCCATCTGAAGGAGCCTTCTTTTATGTCTGACTTCTGTTCTCTGTGCTGCATGGTGGCCTCATGTCAGCCTTGGGAGTGAGAGTACAACCACCTGTCTTAAACCATGTCCTGAAGGAAGACACTTTGGGAGGTTTGACAGGTGCTCTGTAGAAGGGGGCCTTATCAATGTGTATAAGTGTCTGAAGGGAGGATGTCAAGAGGATGCTCTTCTTCGTGGTGCAAAGTAGTATGACAAGAGACAGCAGACGGAAACTGATGCACAGAAGTTGAGTCTGAATATGAGAAAGAACTTCTTTACTGGAGTATGAGAAAGGACTTCTCTACTGTGCGGGTGACTGCACACAGGAACAGATTGCCCAGAGAGGCTGTGGAGTCTCCCTGACTGGAGATATTCAAGAACCATCTGGATGCAATCCTGTGCCATGTGCTCTGGGATGACCCTGCTTAAACGGCGAGGTTGGACCAGATGACCGACCCGCTGTTGCCCCTTCCAACCTTACCCATTATGTGATTCTGTGACTCATATTCTATGGGATAAAAGTCTGTCTTATTTCATGAATTAATTCTCTATCTGCTAAGATAGGATACAGATATGGACTTGATCTCTTGCTCTTTTGCTTCAGTTCTGACTTGTGTGACAGCATGTGGCTGGCTGTCCACTGCGAGCTGGCCTGAGGTTCCCTACCTGCATTATGTAACTGGAGCTGTTAGCTACAGCATGCCCTGTCCATCATGGGTTATCCAAGGTATGGTTTGGAATGAGAACCTACGATGCGGTGTCGTTTCAGCTTGTGAACTCCTTGTAGTGCTTTTGCACCAGCAGTCTTTCAAGGGCCTAATAATAGTATCCACCCTGCTTAAGAGCAGAAGTAATTTGTTCTTTCTGCCAGTTCATTTAGCATATTGCTGAGCAAATATTGAGGAATGCAGTTTGCTTCCTTTTCCATGTGGAACATATTATGCAGTAAGGGAATGAGATGGAATTCATATATCAAGTATCTTCAACTGCGTTGTAATATCAATAAGGAAATTGGTTACAGTATGGCTGGCTTCTTATATTCTTGCTTTAGTATCAGATTAAAATGTACTATACGGTGTCTTTAAACCACCATACTTAAGGACTCTGCTATACTAATTAAAGAATTTTGAATGCAGGCAGTGTTTCATTCCTCTGTTGTCTTTTCTTCTTCCTTCTTTCTTCTTGCTAAGTAAAATTATCTCTGCTGTATTGTGATAGATAAGGTCAACTAAAAAAGAAAATCAAGGACTAACATAATTCATCAGAATCCATCGATTCCTCTATCTTGCTTTTAATGATAAATTCAACATAATTTAGCCCAGGGTTTGCTGAATCACATGCTTGTATAATATGGCTCTTTGGAGTTTTTTTTCTTAGTCTCTAGGATGCATACATGATAGAAATACTCTTTTTTAACTGTTCAGAGTTAGTTGATGACCTGCTGTTATATCCTACCTCACTTTGGTTGCTGGTAGATTTTTGATAGAGGAGGGGAAATCAAATACTGGAGGTGTGGAACTGAAGCATGGTGTTATTTTTTGAGGTGAGGCAGCATATCCTGATAAAGATAGAGTTAGCTCTACAGTATGTATTTAGTAACATATTTTCCATAGATATTCATGAACATTTAGTTGTGTATTTTCCATCTTGCAGAGAAATATTGATGCATCATTACATAGTGTTCTTTTATAAAGCAAATTTTGTCTGTCCCTGGTTTAAATAGATGGTCACGTTTTTGTAGCTACTACTTTTTTATGAGTCCCCTCAAATTTCATCATTTTTTTCCTGCCTCTTCACTTCTCCTTGTTTCTAGTCCCAACAAAAGAGAAGACAATAATTTACTAAGCCCATTCCTCTTTCTTCTCTTCTACCCCAGCCAAACTGAATCTCAAACCACCAGATTAAATTTGTCCATAGAATGAGATTTAGTAAAAGAAATTCACTTGTCACTGTATTCCATCAGGCGAAAGTGGTATATGTAAACATATATATATGAGTACATATGTGCTGAGTCAGTGATTAGATGATGGCCCTGGTAACTGCTGTTTATATGAATCAGTTGTACACTCATATGTACCCACCCAGTTGTGCTTAGTGAGTGTACAGAACCAAAGGCAGGTTCTGTATATGGGACATGAATCAGTTAAAGTTCCTGGGGAAGGAAGGGACAGCAAAGTGCTACAATTAACTCGCAAAAAAAAAAAAAAAGAAAGAAAAAAAAGGTGTGTTTTCTGTTTTTCCTGTGTTCTTCTTTCTCAACATTTTAAAATTTCCTGTAGTAATCAAGTAGCCATACAGAAATCCAAGACTAAGGGAGAAGTAGCACTCCTAGGCTAAACAAGATTTCTTAATGTATGAAAAACTTAGTGCATCAAAGCTGATAATTCATATCTTGCTTTCATAGGTGATAGGTGTTAGAAGTAATTGATCTGGCCATGTAGAATTCATAACTGAGTGAGTTTACTTCCTGAATACTTGATGACCTATCTTCCTTCCATTCCTTCTCTCCCATCCGGCTACTAAATCATGAGTAGATCAAAAGCATTGACTTCTGGTTAATTCTCAAAAGTAGGAGCAGTAATCAGTAATTTATTTTCATCTGAATTTTGTGCATTTATTCTTTCCTCTTTCTTGGACTTTATCTGCAAAGGAGAGGTTTGTAATGATACATGTTCACTACATAACACTGTCAGGAAATACTGTTTATGGGGATAAACTTCATTCTCTGGATTGCACTTTTATTCCCAATGTTTGTCTTTCTTCTGTCTCAAGCCCTGTATCTCCTTGTTTTTGAGCTGGTGATGTGTACCTGCTTATTTATTGGCTGAGCATGTTTTGGGAAAGAAAAATTGTCTCTTGGCCTCTGAACATGCTTCATTAGATGTTGCTTTCTGCACTGCTAAGGTAGCAAGGAGAATACATCCAAAACATTGTTTTCAGAAACTCTAAACATGTTTCAGAGAAAAAAAACCATAGCTATAAAACTTGCTCATTTGGTCAAAATT